AAGAGAATCGCCTAGGCCCAAGGAGTTGGAGGTTGCTGTGAGCTGTGACTTCGCAGCACGCTACCGAGGGTTAATAAGTGCAACGCTCTCTCAAAAAAAAAAAAAAAAAAGAAAAAGAAAGAAAGAAAGCCAAGCGTGGTGGTTCAAGCCTGTAATCCTAGCACTTTGGAAAGCTGAGGTGGGTGGGTTGCTCAAGCTCGGGAGTGCAAGACCAGCCTGAGCAAGAGCAAGACTGTGTCTCTACTAAAAAAAAAATTAGAAAAAAACTAGCTGGGCATTGTGGTGGGCACCTGTAGTCCCAGCTACTTGGGAGGCTGAGGCAAGAGGCTGGGGCAAGAGGCTGGCTTGAGCCTAAGAGTTTGAGGTTGCTGTGAGCTATGATGATATCACAGCACTCTACCCAGGGTGACAGAATGAGACTCTGTCCAGAAAAAAAAAAAAAAAGAAAGAAGTATGGATGGAGATTCCTCAAAGAACTAAAAGTAGACCTTCCATTTGACCCTGCAATCCCACTATAAGCATTTACTCTAATGAAAAAAAGACATTTTGACTTGGCATGTGTAGCTCAGTGGTTAGGGCACCAGCCACATGCACCAGGGTTGGTGGGTTCAAACCCAACCAGGGCCTGCTAAACAATAATGACAAAAAAGAAAAACAGCTGGGCATTGTGGCAGGTGCCTGTAGTCCCAGCTACTTGGAAGGCCGAGGTAAGAGAATCGCTTAAGCCCAAAAGTTTGAGGTTGCTGTGAGCTGTGACGCCACGACACTCTACTAGGGGCAAGAAAGTGAGACTCTGTTTCAAAAAAAAAAAAGACATTTTACCACAGGGACATTTGCACTCAAATTTCCCAAACATCTCAGTTCACAAAGTTGGGAAAACAACCCTAGTGCCCATCAACACATGAATGGATTAATAAACTGTGGTATATGTATATCAGGGAGTAGTATTCAGCCATAAAAAGATGGAGATTTTGCATCCTTTGTAAAACCTGGATGGATTTGGAGAATATTCTCCTAAGTAAAATATCACAAGATTGAAAAAACAAGCATCTCATGTACTCAATATCAATTTGAAATTAGGAGATTAACAATAACCCACATAAGAGAAAATCTCAAAGTCAAGAAGAGCCTGTGGCTCAGAGAGTAGGGTGCTGGCCCCATATACTGGAGGTGGCGGGTTCAAACCCAGCCCCAGCCAAAACTGGGGAAAAAAAAAAGAAAAAGAATATTATTTTAAAAAATTAAAAAATAAAGTCAAGAAGAGAGAAGAGTAGGAGGGGGCTCAGTAACTTCCCACCCAATGGGTACCATGCATGGAAATAAGGCACACTCTCTGGGTGTAGGACACAGCTACAACTCCAACCTTTCACGTGTAAATTATATAACCTAATGGTTTGTACCCTCATATTAATCTGAAATTATATTTTTTAAAAAGATGTCTGGGTTCTGGAGCTTAGGAGAACCTGGGAATGGAGAAATAGGAACATCTCCAACAGATAAGGGAGTGGAGGGAGATGGAGCCAGATAACAGGTTGCTGAGTTTGGTTACACAGAGATCAGTGAAGGGGGTAAGGGAGCCGTATTAATGTAAAGTCAGAGATGAGGCTACAATCAGGAAAATTGTGGGAGGAGTTTTAAATATCTCTGGTCTTAAATAAGAGAGCCTGTTTACATGCTTAAAGTGAAAAAAAAAAAAAGGCATGAAAAAATGCTCATCCTCCCTAATAATCACCAGAGAAAAAAAAGTGAGGTGGACATGGGTGTCATCTGGGGAGCTATTTCAGGAGTGGTTGGTTGTCTCCAGACTAAGGACAGGAACTTTGGCACAACAGGACTCAGGCAGCCTGGTCCCAGGAAAGTCAGACCCTCAGACTCTGGGAGGCAACCAGGTGCCATAGCTTTTCCCATGCCCTGCTTCCAGTGAGTAATCAAGGTAGGGGGAGGGGTCACTGACCTGCTCTGAGGGGTCTGAAATCAGACTCCTTGGCTGAAGGTGCGACACGTGGTCCGAAGAGGCAGGGTCTGCGCGGTTGTTCCTCAGGAGATAAGCTTGGATCTGGGGACAAGGTATATTGAGAAACGGCAGAGAGTGGAACCACAGTGCAGAGAAGAGCCGGGGAGACGAGAGGACGCCCACCTGATGGACTGCACGTGTTGTCAGTTCCGGGTGGCTGCGATGTGCTTGGGCCACGTCGTTCAGTGGCAAAGGCATGGCCTTCAGGCTGTGGTTCTGCTCCATTGCCTGCGCCACGTCTAGCAGGCCCAGAGCAGAAGTGTGGTTCCGGTCCCAGACCACAGACCTGGGCCAGAGCGAGCTTCAGTCGGGGATGGAGCTCCAAAAGGCCACATCCCACCCACTGGCGTGGTCCATTCGCCTCGCCCGCCGGCCGGTTCCATTAGCCCCGCCCTTTAGCCCAGCACGCCTCTCCCCCTTCGTCCCACCCCCTCTGACCACGCCCACCGGAGCCTCGTGTTGACCCGCAGCGCCTTGGCCAGCATTTTGGCGCCTACATCCCCCATGCCGTTGCCGCTGATATCCAGCGCTGTAAGGTTAGGATTGGCGCCCAGGGCCCGGAGTAGGACGCTGGCGCCCAGCTTCAGCCGAGACTCAGACACGGACAGAGACTGCAGAGGCTGGTAGTTAAAAGAAAGTCTTTGATGGTTGGAGTCAAAGGTCAGCAAAAAGGACAGGTCACAGGGTTTGAGGGAGCAAAAATCAGAAGGGTCTGTTGCCTTTGTATCACAAGGTGAACTCACACAGTCGTCATCCTGCATAAGCTGGACAATCCGGTGCAGGACATCATCCAGGGTCTCCCTGTGGGCAGGGGCTGCTGTTGTGGGGTGGGAACCGGGGTCTTGGGGTGGGGACTGGGGTCGTGGGGTGTTGTCTGGGAGGCCCAAGAGTAGGGTGGAGGCTCACTTGCACCGGACGTTGAAGTTCCTTCCAAGCGCTACATGTCTCAGGGACCGGCTCCTTCCAATGGCCAACACCAGAGTCACCATATCCGAGCCAAAGCCTGGGGGTGACTCGGGTCACACACAAGATGAGGTTGCGGGGGTCGGGGGGTGGGCTGGGAATTGGGCAGATAATGGGAGGGTGAGATCCCAGGCAGCCTGACCATTATCAGCCAGATCCAGGGAGCTGATGGAGCCTGCGTCACACACTAAGTCTTGTATCACCTGGGCGCCAGCGGAGCGCAGCTGGAGGTGGAAGGTGGGGCCCACTCAGAACACAGGTGGGCAGGGGCAGGCGGCCAACCGCCAGGCTCTCCCGCCTCCCAGCCCACCTTCCAAGGTGTGGGCCCACTGCGCTGTGCACATCCCAGGCTGGGCGCTCACCTCACAAGCACTGAGGTCCAAGTGCAGGTCGCGGAGGTGCGTGTTGAGAGCCAGGCCATCCAAAAGGGCCCTAAGGAGGGATGTCACAGGGGGTGGCGGGAGCTGGGAAAGGGGGCACTAGGGTATGAACAAAACCCAGAAAGACAGGGCCCCGACTGCAGGAAAGGCTGTGGGTGTGACAGGATCCGGAAGACGCAGGAAGTCTGGCCTGGGCGGTGACCCCCCACGCAGGGGAGTGACCATGTGTAGAGACACTGACCTGAGCGCGTCTGGTGGCAGCTTGCAGCCCGCCAGGCTCAGATGCCTCATGGTCCCCGAGTGGCTAAGGAAGAGCTGCAGGGAGGCTGGCGCGGCCCGGGACTTCCTGGTGGGGCGTGGGGAAGTAGGCTTGCAGGCACAAGGAAGTGGCTCCCAGCATCCAACCCCGCCCTGAGAGGTCCCCCTTACGTGCGAGAGAAGACATTCCTCGAAGCATCCAGGTGGGTGAGGCTGGAACAGCAGCCCCGGGACAGCGCCCCGAAGAGCTGAGGAAAGAGGGTATTGGCTATACCTGCAGGGGGAGCCTGCAGGACTACATTCGTCTCACCATGCCCTGCCGTCCAGTCATCCCTACTCAGCCGCTGCACCCTGCCCAACATCCCCCCACTGACCACCCCCTCACAGTGTCCAGGGCCACATCGGTGCCTGCCAGATTCAGGAAGGTCAGAACATTAGGACGGCTCAGGAAACTATAGAGGCCCTGGAGGGAGGACAGGAGTGGAAAGGGAGTCAGGGCTCACCTACATGGGCTTCCTAATATCACACTGCCTGCGGCCAGCCCAAGCTAAACCCTGAAGAAAGTCACTCACCCCACTGTCCTCGGAGGCCCCCAGGGCCCCAGGGTTCCCAGAAAGGTCTAGGTGGGTCAGGGCAGAGTCAAAGGCAGCATTGCTGGCCAGTGCCCGGCCCAGAGCCCTCATTCCTGGTGGAGGATGGGAGCAGCTCAGCAGTTAGTCAGACCCACCTCTCCCTCCAACTCCCTCATCCCACTTACCTCGAGGTGTCAACCCTGTCTGTGCTAGGCTGAGTCTCCTCAGGGCTCCTGGACGATCCTCTAGGTATCTGCTGAGTGCCATGATGCCTGGGGGATGGCAGCAGCCATGTGAGTCTCACCTTCTCCAGCCACCAGCCCCTGAGGTTCCCTTCCCCAGGCTTAGCCATACCTCTGTCATCCAGCACATTCCCTGCCAGGCTGAGCTCCCGCAACCCAGAGCTTGAGTGTCCTGACAGTTTTTGGGCTAGTCTCCGGACAAAGTCTCTAGGGACCAGACCCCAGGAGTAAGACTCTGACCTTGGATTCCTGACCCTTTCTGGGCTACCAGCCTCCAGTCCCAAGCCCTCAGACTCCCCCCTTACCCCCTCAGGCCACAAGTCTCCAGCACCAGCTCCTCCAGGTGGGAAGACCGATTCATCATGTGCAGAATCTGTTCTGAGACCTCGAGACTCTGAGAACCAGAAGATGGTGGCTTAGTGGGCTGCACGTTGGCCCTTGTGCCCCAGGCCCTTCCCTGCCCCTACTCCTCACCAGCTTCATGTCCACACAGGAGAGACATCGGAACCACAGGTTGTAGGATAGGGCAGCTACACTTAAGGCCTGGTCCCTGGGTGGGGGAACGGGCAGGACAGAGCTCAGGGCCGTCCAGCATACCCTCTATGGAGAGGGTCCTGGAATATTCCTCCTCTCCCATTCTAGGCAGGCCATGTACCGACTGCCAAGGTGGCTGAAGTCTCCTAGGCTGAAATGGCGGCAGCCCTGACGATGGTAGATGGTGTCCACATCCTAGATGAGAAGAAAGTGTCTGCAATTTGCTTAGGGCCACAAGGGGTAGGAAAGGGCTCAGCACATATAGGGGATCAGATGTCTCCAGAGCCCCCCAGAGAGGGCCCCACCCTCACCCACTGAATCTCTTCTCGGAAAGGGAAGCCATTGTAGTCACACAGAGCCTCGTAAGTCTCCAAGAAGCCACCTAGGGAGGTGACAGGGGTGTGACAGAGGGAAGGAGAGAGACAAAAGGTCAGAGATGGAGGAAGAACAGATCCAGGCTGGGTGGTGGCTATGACTCTTTTCAGTGTGAGAGCCCCCCAACTCCATGGAAGGGCTGTGGGCCCTGCCTTGGCCCTTACCACAGGGGCTACAGGGGGTGCTGGACTCTGAGGGGCTGCTGCTTTCCAGCCGAGCCAGTATCGAGGAGGGTGTGGGCATCCGGAATAGCTCCCTGTGGAGGGGGCAAAGGAGAAGGGGCAAGAGACTTCTCACCCTGGGATGAGAAGTGCCCCATTTGTGCCCATTGGGAGCATCTGCCCGCTGCCTTCCTCCCTTGCCAGCTCCTTGAAGTTATCAGGCCTCACCTAAAAGTTGAGTGAGGGAAGACCTTCTTGATGGCCACAGCCACATGCTGGGCCAGCTGTTCCAGGGCAGCCACATCAGGAAACTCCAGGACCAGTTCAGGAAGAGACTCCAGCTCAAAAGTGACCTGGGGATGGAGAGCGGCTGGGCCTTGGCTCCACATGTAGGAGTAGGTGATGACAGAAAGAAGACCTGGCTGCACGCCCATGTGGGCTACTAGATGTCTTACCTGAGGGGGTGTCTCCCGTAGCGCCATGGCCCGGACCTCCAGGTAGCTGAATGTGCAGTCCACCTAGGGAGCATTTAGATCAGCTGGAACCAAGCCGTGAGCTGCACCCTCACAGGAGCCCAGGCCTTTGTGTACCCTGGAGCAGGACCTGTCTAGACACCACTCCTGTCCGCTGCTGGGAGCCTAGGGCTGGTGGAAAGGCAGAGCCCATACTGGCAAGGACAAGGCACTGCAGATGTAGCCTCTCACCAAGGTAGCTGCTGGAGGGCAAGCCAGGTAGTGGCCAGACCCTGGGACTCACCCTCAGGGGGAGGCAGGTGTGGAGCAGATAGGCTCTCCATCGTAGCAGCACCTGAGGGGAGGCAGAGTCTGATACTTCAGGCAGGGTGGGAGGCTCTTTCTGCTGGGCCCAGCTGCCTCCCAGGCTCTGGCCTCTGCCCACCATACCAGGACATAACTCCGCTCAGCACCCTCATAGGGTAGCCAGGTTTTCAGCAGCAGTTCCACCTCCTTTGGCCACAGGAACTTGGTGATCTCGCCTGTGGAAGGACAGCCTTCTGGGTGACTTTAGTCTTCCCACGGAGGCAACTTGTGCCTACAGTCTGTGCCAGGCTGAGGCCTGGGGGCTATTCACGGCAGCAAGTTAGGAGTGGAGTGGATCTGGGGGCGCTGGCCCTCTGGAGGAACGGAGAGACCCTCTGGCCGAGCCCCGCGGGGCGCTCGGGGAGCCTCTGGTTTGGGGGCCGCGAGGATCCCTCCCAGCCAAGTAGGCAGGAATAGCCAGAGCTTACCTCGCAGCTCACAGGATATTCCGTCGGGGGTCTGAGCCATGGGGCTGGGCCGGGGCGGCCCAACTCGCTCCGGGGCGGGAAATAGCAGGCACCGGCGCGCACACAGGAAGCCTGGGCCCCGGGCCGCACTGCAGCCACCTGCTCCTCCGGCGGCGGAAGGTACGCGCCGCTTCCTGCCCAGCCGCCCCCGGCCCGGCCCCTCCCCGGTTTGCCTCTTGCAGAGGTCGCCCGGGTTTGGGGTTGTGGGTTGGGGGGGCGTGTCCCAGCTTCCCTCCCTCCCCGTCGAGCAGGAGCTTCTCTGCCAGGGTAGTCACGAGGCTGAGGAGTAGTGTGGCCGCGAGGATCGCGCGGGTCCCGCGCTTCTAGCGGTCCTCGCCCTCGACTTCCACCCCGCCCCGCAGTCCCTGCCGCGAACACCAGGCGGCGCTGCCCGCCCGGGGATCCCCGCAGCCCACCCTGGCCCGTCCCCACAAAGCCCAGGCTGGGGAGGTGGACCAGGTGCCTGCAAAAGAGTCTGCAGCAAGGCGTGCCTGATGTCTCCCAACACCAAGATTCCTGCCCTGTTGCTCTGAACCCAGGGCCTGCGATCCTTTTGAGGGATCCATGAACTTTTGGAAGGACAGAAAAAATGCTGGATGGGCCCTGACACCCTTCTCTGTAGCAGAGTCTTCAGCTTTCATCAGGTTCAGGCTGGGTCAGGGCCCAAGGTGCTGGTTGTTTGTACCAGGCCCCTCAGAGAGTAGCCTCAGGCCAAGATGAACCCCAAGGTCCTCAGGGAGGGCTGGAGTGACTCGTGAGCAAAGGCTAGGTACACGGAGGTCCTCCCTTTATCTGCATTCTCCCCAGATGGAGATTTCCGGGGGCAGAGAGAAAGGGAAGCTAGTGTCTCCAGGGTGAGAGGGACAGAAAGTCATGGGGGTAGGGCCTGCCAGTCAAAAGTGTGCTGCCATATAAGACCAGGCACTTAGATTGGAGGATTCATAGGAAGGGATTGCATTTTTTTTTTTAATTCCCTTACAATCTAATTAAACTTCACTTAGGAGATAAGAAGCAGCCTTCTACCTTGCCCAGGGCTCAGCCAGGCAGAAGTCAAATTACCCTGAGAGTGCAAGACCACAGAAGCAGTGGTCCCTTGGCTGTTTTTTTTTTTGGCCTGGGCTGGGTTTGAAACCGCCACCTCCAGCATATGGGGCCAGTGCCCTACTCCTCTGAGCCACAGGTGCTGCCCAGGCCTTTTTTTTTTTTTTTTTTGAGACAAAGTCTCACTTGGTCACCCTTGGCAGAGTGCTGTGGCATCATAGTTCCCAGTAACCTCAAACTCAGGTGCCCACCACAACGCCCAGCTATTTTTAGAGATGGGGTCTCACTCTGGCTCAGGCTGGTCTAGAACCTGTGAGCTCAGGCAATTCACGTGCCTTGGCCTCCCAAGTGCTGGGATTATAGGCGTGAGCCACCATGCAGTCCCTTGACTTTTTCCTCATCTCTATCTGCTTACCTCGCCCTGCCTTGTAGCTGGGAGATAGCAGGAACATTCTCCAGTCATCTGCACCCCCCCAACCACCCCAGTCTCCACTTGGTGAGGTTCACTAAAAACTGGGCAAAGTTGCTGGGGGCAGTGGCTCACTTGTATAATCCTAGCACTCTGGCTCAGTGCCTGTGGCTCAAGCGGCTAAGGCGCCAGTCACATACACCTGAGCTGGTGGGTTTGAATCCAGCCTGGGCCCACCAAACGACGACTGCTGCAACCAAAAAATAGCTCCATGTTGTGACAGGTGCTTGTAGTCACAGCTGCTTGGGAGTTGGAGGCAGGAGAATCACTTGAGCCCAGGAGTTGGAGGTTGCTGTGAGCTGTGATGCCATAACACTCTACCCAGGGTGACAGCTCTGTCTCAAAAAATAAAAAAAATAAATAAAATAATCCTAGCACTCTGAGAGGTTGAGGCGGGTGGATTGCTTGAGCACAGGAGTTTAAGACCATCATGGGTAAGAGGGAGACTCTGTCCCTTAAAAAAAATAGCCAGGTCTGCGGCGCGTATGGGTCAAAGGAATAGGGCGCCGGCCCCATATGCTGGAAGTGGCGGGTTCAAACCCAGCCCCAGCTAAAAAAAAACAACGGAAAAAAAAAATAGCTGGGTCTTGTGGCAGGTGCCTGTAGTTGCAGCTACTCAGGAGGCTGAGTCAAGAGAATCGCTTATGGCCCAGCGCCTGTGGCTCAAGCGGCTAAGGCGCCAGCCACATACACCTAAGGTGGCGGGTTCAAATCCAGCCCAGACCCGCCAAACAACAATGATGGCTGCAACCCCCCCCCCCGCAAAAAAAATAACCGGGTGCTGTGGTGGGCGCCTGTGGTCCCAGCTACTTGGGAGGCGGAGGCAGGAGACTCACTTGCGCCCAGGAGTTGAAGGTTGCTGTGAGCTGTGATGCTACAGCACTCTACCCAGGGGGACAGCTTGAGGCTCTGTCTCAAAAAAAAATAAAAAGAGAATTGCTTGAGCCCAAGAGTATGACGCCATGGTACTCTACCCAGAGCGACAAAGTGAGACTCTGACTTAAAAAATAATAAAAAAATAAAGAAAAATGAGGCTTGGCGCCTGTGGCTCAAGCGGCTAAGGAGCCAGCCACATACACCTAAGGTGGCAGGTTCGAATCCAGCCCAGGCC